TGAGAAAACAAATGGTTTATTTATTCCACTTAATTTGTTTTTCACATTTTCCACCATAATGCTTGTCTCAAACTGAAAATGCAAAACAGTAAAATATTGATTTAGTTTATATTAAAACCTCTTCTTTATTTGCCTTATGTATATTGCAAATAGCTGAAGCAATGATGTTGGGTGGCTTTGGGCTTTGGCAAAGTAAAATGGACATAGTGGGTCTATATATGTGAGGAGATATCTGATTCAGTGTTGCTGCTGTTTATGTCCCTAATGAAGAATTGCACTTTATAATTTAATTAGACAGCAATAAACTTTCAGTAAAAATCACTTTACCCCCTACTGTTTGTAGGCTGGAGATGTATGTAAACTAGACCACATACTATGCTGTTTTGAATAATGCTGCCCACCATACAAAGATAATGAATCAAATCCATGTACTGTATTTCTTTCACTCACTATTGTATTACTTATCTTAAATTCCTTCTCAAAGAGTAACTGACACCACTGTTGTGTTTATTATGTGTTCGTAGTGGCACTGGGACCATCAAGTGTTTTGTAAAAGCCTTGTCTGAAGAGCTCTGAGAGAGTCCCTGTTGGTTCTCTTTGAGCTTTAATCTCTTCAACCCTGTCTGTCTTTCCACCATACATATGTTAAAGGATCTGCTCAATTGAACCGGCATCATAGAGCACGTTTGAAAACAATCTCATCTCCCACTGACACCATCGCTCCTAGCCGGAATCCCTGCACTGGTCTTCTCTGCTATGTCCGCATATTCTTCATCTTCCCTCTAAGCCTCAACTCCCTGTCCCTGTTCCCTCTAGTCTTTCTCTCTTGCTGTACCGCATCAACCAAATGCAGAAGCGCAGAGCCCCGTTGCTCGGAGTCGATCTGTGTATGAAGGAAACCGGCTCAGGTGTGTCCTTTTAGCTTCTTGTGGAATCAGTCAAATGCATACTATGAGCCCTCTGAGCTTTAGTAAATGTGTGTTACTCTCAGAGGGAGCCGCACTGACGTAAATTGTATTGCATTTGGAGTTAAGGGCCTGAAAATCACTAGATGGAAAGCGCCTGGATTCTGACAGTCTTTCCAGCTCTTCACATTTGTTCAAAAGGGCTGATGGGAAACCTTGTTGCTTGTAGCTTGTGAACAGCTATTTTCATCATGGGACGTCAACCTTTGGCAGCGTAATAACTGATTCGCCTTCATGATTGCAGTTGCAACATATTGCAGATAAAATATCTGCCTGTGGAATTGCAAACATGCCATTTAAGACAGGCTTTGTGAAGGCTAAAGAAAATGATCTGTTCAAATGCTGGTATCATATCAAAGTCTCCCGACTTCTATGTAAACCTTCTGTAATCTTTCAATTAAAACAAGTATTTCACAGCCTCATAGAAACCAGAAAAAATGCATGGTCAAGATTTGAAACACAGCTTTTGTTAGTTTCTGAACACGTGGAAGAATGTGACTTTCTCTTGCCATTATTACTAACTTTGAGAGTCCTTAATAATAATAATAATAATTAGGGATGCACCGAATATTCGGCCACCGAAAATTATCGGCCGAAAATGGTTAAAAAGGCCCTTTCGGCCTTCGGCTGCACTTTTGCTAAATGTTTAGACAAATTGCTCGTGCTTACATGCTAAACTCTTATTGCACTTATGGTAACAAGTATTCTCCACATCGAGACGGGTAAAGTGTAACCACACCTCGGAGCGCGTTCTCTCCGCCACCTCCGCAGTGTGCTCCGCTGCATGTAGCAGCTGCGTGTGTGTAAACTGCCCCGCCCCCTCGCACACAGACGGGAGAGAGATCTCGTCTGATCGAAAATACATCATAGACGCATTTGTTGTCTTTGCATATTAGAAACGAGTTGGCGACACTAAGACTGCGATATAATGTTTTTTTAGCAATAATACATGACATATATAAATGTACTGTATGCATTCAAAAGTGCTGAATAAATGTTTTATGGACCCATAATAGTGATTATTATTTAAGTTAAGTTTTGCCATAATCATGTCTATTTCCATAATCAGGTAGCTGAACAACATTGGTAAAAAATGTATACATTATATATATATATATTTCTATTAATCATTTTCGGCCTTTCGGCATTCGGTTTTCGGCCAACTGTTTCCTATTTTCGGTATCGGTTTCGGCCAAGAATTTCCCATTCGGTGCACCCCTAATAATAATAATAATAATAACTAGAATTTATATAGCGCCTTTCATAACCTCAAGGTCGCTTTACAAAGAAACATATAAGGACAAGACATAAAAACATAAACATAAAACAGGGGCAGAAATGGAAGTGCAACATTGCAGTGGGGGGGAGAGTGAGTTAATGTTGGAAGGCTTTGTTGAACAAATTAGTTTTCAGGGTTGATTTGAAGATGTTGAGAGAAGGAGCCTTGTGGATTTCCGCAGGGAGGGAGTTCCAGAAGGTGGGGGCAGCGACACTGAAGGCACGGTCCCCAAAGCATAGACTGTATAAACCAAAGGTGCGGAGGCGTGAATGGGGAATGGAGAGCAGGCCGGAGTCTGAGGATCGAAGGGTGCGGGACGGGATGTAAGGATGGAGGAGATCTGTGAGGCACTGAGGGGAGAGGGCATGGAGGGACTTGTAGGTGACGAGGGACTTGACCGGGAGCCAGGGAGGTTGAAGAGAGTGGGGGTGATGTGCTCCCAGGGCTTGGTGCGTGTGAGAACCCTGGCAGCTGAGTTCTGGATGTACTGGAGCCTGTTCAGGGTTTTGCTGGGAACCCCGGACAGGAGTCCGTTGCAATAGTCCAGACGGGAGCTAATGAAACAATGAATGAGCTTCTCTGCAACAGAGTCGGACAGTGATGGCCGGAGTCTTGATATGTTTCTGAGGTGGAAGAAGGCTGATTTGAAACGGACTTGATGTGGTTTTGAAATGAGAGGGTTGAATCCAATCCTTGAGTTATATATTAAACTATTTGCATTTATTTTTAAAAACCAAAAAATGACGGTCTAGAAAAACTTAATTTCTCCCTCTTGTACTAAAAGGGATGTTTTTTAAAGCAATATGACATGTTGGCTAACTTGCTGAGAAAATATATGACAACATTTAAAGCATGTACATGTGTGTACAGTAAAGACTATGGCGGCAGATGGTTAGCTTAGCTTAGCCTTAAGACTGGAAGTATGCAGACCTAGCTAGCAAATCCCTACCAAAATCAAAATCCTGAAACAAAAAGGTGTGAATTTGCGGGAGTTACGTGCTTGAGTATCTGGGCTTGGACCGGAGATTGCAGTTTAGGTAGGTAGCTTGATATTTATTTATTTTTTCTACAAAGGAATAGAGCCAAGCTTGCTGATTCCTGCTTCTTCTAGTCTTGCTGCTAAACTAAGCTAACCCGCTACTGGCTATAATCTGATACCAAGCGTAAAGACTCGAGAAAGGTATCAACTCTTGCTTTAAATGTATTCTACAGGACGGAGGTCTAAATATTTTTTAATAAACATAATTTCAATATTTTGTCATTTCATAAATTATCAGAATTTGAAATGTGCTGTTAAATTGTTACACCAACAAATTGCTTAAACCTGATTTGATTTTACATCATTTCTGTGAATTACAACCACATTTCATGCACTTCCTCAAGGCTGTTTATTACTCTGAGATGGTGAAACACAAGATGGATTAGCTTGTCTGTCGATTGGGTATTACTGGATTTACCTTTAAGACCATTCAGTTGAAACTCTCTCTCCATCTGTCTGGCAGCTGAGCCTTCACCGGCACTCAGCTGACAGAAGACCATTACCAAAGCCGAACAATGTGCATTCTAGACTAGAGGTAGACCTGATTTAGCTTGACAGTCACTGGAGGAAAAAAAGTAGACTCAATAGAGGCATTTAAATTGTTATTCCAATTGTTTCTTTCACCTGAGGTTGCAATTAAGCTCTTGCGGGCTCACACGCATAGACACAACAAGCTATAATTATCCTTTTATTTTTATATATTTGACAGGTACCACACGGCAAAGGTCCTTCACCAGTTAGCCTTTGTTCTCTGATGATATTGACATGTAGATATTTGAGGAGCTAGTTAAATCTGAAGCCATATATCTGTGTTATTAGCAGGGGTGCTGAGCGTTGGACCCTGGCTTTGCCTCAGAGAGTGTTCAGCATCTTAAAACCACTATCCCCTTTCCGTGCCTCAGATGGTGCCATCATTCCAAAGCATGGACACTGCCAGTTAATTTAGTCTCCCTTACATGGATGTGGGCAGTGCAGTGCTGAATAACACAGAGCAGTGTGACCAAGCTGCAGCTCAGTGCTGTCGCCGCCACCTCACACATCACATGCAATGATCACAGCGGTGACCGTCGCCTGAAGTTTTAAGGCTGGTTTCTCAGAAATGTCTGATAAATACCATGCTGTCAGACTTCACTGGGGTTTATTTATAACAACATTATAAATGAAATGACAAATTCAAATTAAAACAGTGAAAGAAGCTGTAGTAGTATATGTGACAAATCGCAGGTGCCGGTGTCTCAGCAGACTCACAGTAAGAACTCTGCATGCCAATGAGTCTGCCAGAAATGTCCATTTCACACACACACACACACACACGCACACACACACACACACACACACACACACACATACACATACACATACACATACACATACACATACACATACACATACACATACACACACACAAACTCCAACCCTGCTACTTCACACACAATCCATACTCATTTACAATTACCTTGACACTTTTTCGCTTGTTTGTTTGATATGTGTATACTCATCTAACCCTCTCTATTCCCCAGGCAGCAAAGATGAAATTGCTGAACATGTATAGTCAAAGCAAACACAGTGATGGGCTTATTAAAAACAGGGGGGGTGCGGGAAGGAGGAGCTCAGGTCTTGTTGCAGCTGCTGCATTGGCTGTCTGCTCAGCATTGGGGAGGGGCTGAGGGAGAGGGAGAGAGAGAGAGAGATGGGGAAGGAGGGCAGTACTCTTGTCGTGGGGATAGGGATTGCCCGTTGGTTGCGTCTGCCGATAATAGCACATCAGCTGGAGTGCTGCTATTGGGAGAGCAGAGCGCAGGCAGTGCAGAGGACTGAGCCGCTGAGCACAGAATTGCACTCTACAGAAGACAGGCACGCTCAGACACAGAGAGACAGAATAAAGGAAGAGCAGAGCGCATCAGAGAAGAGGAGGACAGAGGAAGAGAAGAGCATTGGAGAGAGGACAGGAACAAAAGTTGCCAGGTTCAGCAAGAGAACATTGAAGTGGAGCAGCTGAGACTCACCGGGGTGTCTCTTTCTCAGGAGGAGAGTGATATTACAAGAGGGGATTGAGGGAGGACTGAAACTTGTTCACGGACAGACAGACATCTGATAGGCGAGGGTAATGCTCATTAAAGGACTCTTCTGCACATCTACTATCACAGCAAGAAAGCAGCAGGAAGCACTTAAGCCTCACAAAGGTGCCGGATATGTGCAGTTCCACTCACTTCTTTACTGAAGACTTTCTTACCCCAACTGTGACTTGAGGTGGATGTAGTTGTGTCTTTTGGGGGTTTTCATCATTTTTTTGCATCAGAGTGTGAGACTCGGAGGTGTTCTGTCCTGTAATCCCTGAGACTATGGTAGACTGTGCGTCAAGGAGCTCTTCATCAGCAGCTGCAGCCCTAGAGCATGGAGAAGTCCAGCAGTGAGGAGTCAGCCATTCACCGTAGCCCCTCCGTAGATAGCCGTGACTCTGATTTTGCTCAAGCCTCCACGTCTGGCCGTCCCTTTGGCGGCCGCGGCTTCACTGCCGGCGCATTCTACGGCTCCACGGGGCCGCGCAAAGACGCACAGCAGGCACAGGCTGGAGCGACAGCTGACAACAGCGCAGGAGACAAGACCAACAACAAGTACACCTCGCCAAAAGGCAGCAAATACGTGGTGTTTTACCTGGATCTATCCTTTGTATTCCTTTTAGAATTCAAGAAGTGCAACATGGCAAGAGGCTGCCTCTGCTGCTTGAAGTATATGATGTTCATCTTCAACCTCATCTTCTGGGTAAGTGGCTCATCATATTCTTGATGTTTTTTCTCATCACACTTGTTCATATTGATCTAGTTGATGTTAATAATGATATTCATTTGCAGATATGGCTTATAGGCTGATGCTGACAGAGCCAATCTGGCTGTAACTTAATCATTCTCCATATCTGCGCTGGTAAATGTGAAGTCTCTGTAATATGTTTCTTATAAATGTTAATCAGGAAACATTATGGCAATTTGATGGTTGTCAGTGCAATGATGCATTTCTAATTATTACATCAGGCGGTTTGTGCCTGTTCCCTCATGCGAATGTGTCTATTACTGGATATGACATCGTCAGTGGCATTGCACCAGGTCTTCTTTTGTATGTGGGTTGAAGGTTTTGAATTGTGGTGGGTTCATCAGGGTCACTCTTTGAGATGGATTTATGATTTCCAGTGAACGTGGGGGTTGAGACGCTGCTTTAGGCATGCAAGTGAAAGAGTATATGCCTCTACAGTACAGTGAGATTGACAAGTAACGCAACGTGCTCTCAGGCAAAGAGAGTTGAGCGTGTCAGCAATAGTTTGGGTTGATTTTAGAGGAGATGTTCTAGTACGACTATTAGATTTTGTTGCTCTTGTGTAAAACTGTGATAAATAATTATAGATACAACATCATAAGGTTGCCCTTTATAAGTCTATAAATCAACTAATTGGTTGTTTTGTTCACAGTCTACTAGATTTCCTTCTTGAAAATGTGACTAGTTGATGTAATGCTTGTTTCATGCTCACTGACTCATTTCCAAACATATGATTTAAAGTGGTTATTTTTGCCTGTTTCCCAAATATTTTGTAAATTGTTGTAAATTGTCTATTTAGGCAGAACAGCCTGACAGAGAAGCTGCATCTGGATGTTTTGTTTAATCTGTGTCATGTAATAATGTTGTAATTATAAATCCTAGTAAAACCCAGTAATAACACGAAAAACAAAGAATCCTAATGTGATAGTGCCCTGTGTGCCAAATGTACTCACAGCTATATTATATTTCACCCAGAGGAACGTGGCCAGTGTGTGGCAGGCTCTGCTGTGTACCCATGCATGGGCATTTGTTGTGTAAGTGGGCATCCCTTGAATGTTTACAGAATGGATTAAAGAGCTTATAGGTTATGGGGCCAAGTCTTTTGTGTGGAGGCAGCGAAGCGTAAAAACACCCCAACACTGGGGACTCTACCAACCCGTCCCACCATGTCAGTGGGTTGTGAGCCCTGCTAACTGGGGCACGTTGGAAGGCACCATGAGCGGGCATTAGCTTGAGCCCAGCTGTGATCAGGCCTGCATTGAACACATACAAACCCAGATCCATCCCATTGGCCGATATGAGCACTGCTATCGGCAAGGCTCTGTTGCCTGAAGCTGTGGACGCCTCTGCTGCTTTAGGGCAGCAACTCCATATCATTCTCTTATCATTACCCAGGCCATAGAGGCAAGAGCGAGAGCGATTGGCAAAGACTTACAAATAGCTCAGGGGCTCTTCAGCTTGCCTTGCCTTGATGTAATGTTTGTTTAAGTGAATGAAAGGGTCAGAGAAGATTAGCCTATGTTGCATTCATTAATGCAGACATTGACATACCTTGATGTGAGAACCCCCTTTAAACTCATTAAGTGGACCTACATTGCTCAGGCCTTGACTTGACATCCATTCCGTTTTTAAGGACACTTTAAGCATTTACTAAATCGATTGCACCATAAATTGATTGACGGGGAATAATTATTGCAAAATACGTGTTTTGTTTTACTTGAAGCTTAATTTGAACAAACTAGCTTTAAAGCAGTTAATAAGGTATCTGAATCATAAGGTTAAAAGCATGAGTAAACTGTTAAAATCATTACTTAATAAGATAAATGTATGCCATAGGAATTCCTGCTTCAGCTCCTTTTATAGTGCAACAAAATTAAAATGATTAAACGTAATTTTGCATTTTAAAGGGTATCCAGGAGGATACAGATTAAATAAGTCTAAACACACACTGCACCTAAAGCCATTCTTGTTTTCAGTAAAAGGACTAAAACCCGACACATACCTGAAATGGGACACCTTGACGATGAGCTATAGGGGGAAATGTGCTCTCTAGTATTTCATTGATGTCAGATCTCCAACACTCCATCAGTGTCGGCAACACATCTTCCAATTCTTTCTGTCAAATGGAATACCACATGTACTGTGGTGTCACAGGTTCTGATCACGGTTGCTAAGCCCACTGTCGAAACACACCTGCACATTCACATTCTTCCTGTATTGTACAACAGATATCCCTTCAGCTTCAATATGTATATTTATAGGTTCCTGATCCATCAAATTCTGAAGGGTGATTTAAACCATCCATTGAGGAATTACCACTGCTTATAATCATTCTTTCTTCGAGCTACGTCTGAAATATAATACATCAAGACCCTTTTAGACTCTACGTTAGCATGTGACACCATCAGTTATGTGCATGTCAGTTCCGGCCTGCTTGGCTTATTTAATAGCCCAGAAGCGACATCATTGCATACTGTAGTTATAGGTCAATCTTTGGCAGAGGTCATAAGGTCATTATTATCCGCTATCTCCTTGAGGAGCAGTCAGGGGATTTGTCTGAGGGCTTTTACTTCCTAGGTTCCCCCCAGGCTCAATTTCTGCTTCACCCTTTTCAGTGGCAAAACCCTCCACTAATAACCGGCTGCTGCACACCACTAATAGGGAGGTGGAAAAGAGGCTTAGTGGCCTCCAATTCATGTGGAGCCTAGCTTGTTGGCCTCCATAGAAATCCAGCCTGAGAGTTTGCTAAAGCTCTTCCCTTTAGTGTGACGTTTGAAGATTCTCTCTGCAATCATGTTGTGTGTGCTTGTGTGGGCGAAGGGTCCATAAGTGGCTATGGACTCTCCCCAGCGCAGCGCATCCCCTGCTGTGAAATAATTGAATGTCTTACCATGGTAATGTTGACTTAATGAGCACCCACCATGCATATATCCTTCTATATACTCTTGTTTCCCCCCGCCAGTAGATCATTTTAATGACAGTTTAATCAGTGTCTCAGGGGAAGGTAGTGGGGTTATGAGGGGGTTAAAGAGGCACCATGTGGTCTGTCCATCAACATGTGACAGCATGAGGCTCATTGGCGGCTGGCTGACTGGTGGATTCTGGGTGCAGCAGGAGGCGTACTTTAAGGTTAGCATACCTGGGAATGAAGGGTTATGCTCGCCAGTTAGGGGTCGGGATGGGGTGCCTGAGCACCATGGGATACGAGGGAGGAAGGGTGAGAGGCATGCTGTATCTTGACACCCCTGGGACTGCACTGCTCTACCTCAGACACTGCAGTAATCACAAGGTTACTGCAGCTGGTGGGGAGGTTCACCTCTGAAGCTCTCACATCTCATCTCAGGACTGAAGGAAGGAAGGAATGACGCGCTGTGGTAATCAGACACACAGGTACAGCAGGGGTCTCCTCTTTCTGACTGTGCGCACATGCACAAGCGCACACACTGTCCACTCCACACACATGCGTTATTGAAAGAACGCTCACCACCCGCTCCACAGGGCTTACATTGGTAACTCGAAGCACAAGGTAAACAGCGGCAGGCATCTCCATACATGCGCTCATCCTCAATCCCCCCAGCAGTTGTTCGTGACCATCTGGCTACTCTTTCTTATGAGGGATTAGGAGGGTCTGAGATGTAGGGGGAGTTTAAGGCCGATTAGAACAGTATTGGGTGGTGCTGTTAGGATTGAGAGCACGACTCCTTAGGACGGCTCTGCGCTAAAGCCAACAATCATCAAAGCAAATGGCCTTTGTGCAGTGTGACAATGTGTTGTTTAGTCAGGAGGCTAATGGGGTGGGGGGGTAGTTGTGCTCTCACACACATGCAGTGACTGTTTGACCAGCGGGGAAGAGAGATTGATGTTAAGTCCTATTGGTGTCAGCCTTGTGAGCATATTACAGGGTTCGTACGGGTGCTTGAAATCCTTGAAAATGTTTAATATTTGACGTGGTGTTTTCAAGGTTGGGAAAGTACTTGAATTTTGGGAATGGTGCTTGAAAATGTAAATGCTTTACTTTTACAATAAATTGCTGTCTGACTGAATAGTTCGCTTTTTAGATTCAAAGAAAATAATAGCTTCGCTTCTACATAAAACAGCTCCGCGCGCGACCTGCAAGTGTTTGTGTTACGTGTGACCTGGGCATTCTGATGAGAGGGATAGATGACTGTGTGCCAGGAGGTTGCAGTTTCAACGAGCGTTGGCTAGCAGAAGACAAATACAAGCCACGGCTAAGACGAGGGTCAAGCCCACGAGTAGCCTCCTGCAAAGTTTGCAAAAATAACGATGCGAGAGTCTGCGCTGACGAGCCACATGAAAGGTACGCCGTAGTAGAGCATTTTAGATTAGGCTAACGTTGCATGTTACGTTTGTTTAAGCTAACGTTAGCGAGCTGATTAGCGAACTCGATGAGGGATAATAATAATTGCAGGGGACAATCATTTCAGATGAGCGTACCTATGTTATGTTACAGTTGCCATCCTGTGGTGTTCAGAGGATGAAGCACTCACGGCATTTCGTGTTATAGTCACGAAATATAATCTATTGATTCGACACAGAGCGATTTTGAAAGCAATGTATTTCTACTGGTAGTATGTTTCGTGCCTAAACCAAATGTGACTTGATCCATCGAAATCAGTCACATTGACCCGAAGACACATTTTTTTACATTTATACAAGTAAAACTACATTTTTCTTTAATCCCATGTAATTGTAGAATGAACACAGTCTTCCTTTGAAGATGTATAAGTCAGGTGTCTTGAGTAGTAAAAATTACCTACAAATCATTGTACACATTAGTAAATATTATTTTCCACTTGTTACCATTGTGAGTCTATTTTTATGCAGCTCTGCGTGATTTTGTGGCTACAATTCAGACTAATACGCTACCAGAGGTGGAATAAGTACTCAGATCTTGTACTTGAGTAAAAGTAGAAGTACTCAGATGATCTTGTACT